AGAGAGAGAGAGAGAGATGATATAGAAGTCGAGTGACAGTTAAGTTTAGTAAAACTATTTTCGACTAAACACCCCTGTACTGATATTGGTATAGTCTACTCGCAATTAATGGACGTGTCCCTTTCATGTAGAATGGGCACGTCGCTTAAAACTTTACTTAATTCAGTAAAATTCATATATAACTGAAAACTAAATGGACGGGTGACTATGGACAGAATATACAATACGACACACTAAAAAGGGAAACAATCATCAATCATCAACTTTATTGCTCAACAGCTAATATTTGTGCAATGTATGGTGGAGAATAAACAACAAGGGGGATAGATAGTATAACACGAACTATATTAAAAGACAACTATAACAGAGTCACAGCATAATAATAGTAAATCTCAATGCTACCGAGGCCTATTGCTTCACTCATGCGGCAAACGTTGATAAAACAGATAAAGAACACCAGCATTGCTCTTTAACAGCAATGCAAGGGTATAAGTTGTATGTCTCATTATGTTATTAATCAGAAGTTAGAAAACCTCAAAAGGTCCAGTGCTCAGAAGGGGCCCAGGACAAGACGATACAATTTTCAAAAGGCATATTACACTACAACTTAAAATCACGGTACTGATAGAAGGTAAAAGTTTGACGCCATAGTTTAAAGGCAATGTTGTTAGGTTGGTGGAACCTGACAAATAAATTTCCTATTATTGTAGTAACACGAAATATCATTCCACGTGTTCCTGAGGGCAGCTTCATACCAAGTCGCGGAAACATACTCCACACAGTCCTGATTACCTCCGGTGTCGCTGGGTTCTCTTGGACCCCACGGATGGAAAACTCCAAGAGCAGTACCGTCTTCCCACACCCATCGTCCCTCCTGGCGGAGGAGGGTCAGTCCGAAGTAAAAGGCAGTGTTTAGATCAACGGCATTCTTCAGGTTGATGAGGAAGGTGTTGGTGGCGGCATCGCGGGGCATGGCGAGGGTTCCGCCGTAAGAAGAACAGGTTGCCTTAGCACCGTTGTAGTCACTCTCCTGGTTGAAGGCCTTGTAGCACGATCGGCTATGTTGATGGTATGTGTACCCGCTGGGACAAGCTGTTTCGGGGAAGAGTATGGTTCAGATGATCAGCGATGTGCTTTCACGGCAAATGCTTTAACACACACACACACACACACACACACACACACACACACACACACACACAATATTGTACTTTATATGAGGCAATAAAAGAAGCTGTGGATGGATGTTAATGATATATGTGTAGAAGAAAATTCATCTAATCTATGTGTTATAGGCCTCCTGGAATACTACCTTACTTTTAGTTTATGTCAAAGAGAAGATAGCATGCAATACTAGTGAGTTAAGAAGTGAATAATGAAATGAATGGTAGAGTAAAAGAAAAGCATGATGACCTACAAGTATACTCATATACAATATTTTACATTCCGCTGATTCTGACTGGGTAAATCATATACACGACATTCTTAATTATAACGGTTTTGGATATGTATGGACAAACCCTAGGTTGTATCACGTTGATATGTTTACAGATCAATTACGACGTCGTTTACAGGATATTTACATTCAAGAATACCATACTTCTATTGAAAACAATTTAAAACTTTCTGTCTATTCGATGTTAAAGAAGAGATACAGACAAGAAATTAAATTACCTTTCACAATTTTGAAGTTCGTAGATCAATTACAAAGATGAGAATTTCTAGCCATAAATTGAATATAGAATTAGGAAGATATAAAAAATTCTTCGCGACCAGAGGTTTTGTCCGTTCTGTCCCAATGATATTGAAAACGAACATTTTATTTTGAATTGTACACTATATAACGATAAACGCACAAAGCTGTTCAACCTTCTCTCCGCCTGCTCAACAGAATTTGTTACAGTTCATGCTATAGATAAATTTAAGTTCATCCTAGAAGGCGATAACCCTTACTGTGTACAAATAGGTAAATATATCAAAGAATGTTTAGACCTTAGAACATGTAGTATTAGTTGACCCACCTATTGTTGTGTGCGTAGTATATTTTCGTTGTACCCATGTATATTTGTCTGTATATCTACATGTTTTAGACCTTACGAAAGTCGCTGTACTTTTGTTGTGTCAATAAAGTTCTTATATTCTACATGTATTTTCCTCTATATTACAAACACATGAAACAAAACACGAGTGAATGAATGGATGAATGGTGAAATCATGCCCTAGGCTACAGTTCCTTTGTCGTTCTCTCTCTGTCAAAAAAAGGAGACACGTACCTGCGCAGATAGGGACCGTGCCGCTCCACTGTCCGTCCGACCCGCACACGACCTGAGATGACCCCAGCAGGTGGTAACCATGGTTACAACTGAAGGTGCACCTGTCGTTCTCCAGTCGGTCAGTACAGGTCACCCTGCCGTTCTGGGGGCTGGCAAGAGCCGGACACTCCACTGAAATATAAGCGCGTACCACAGTTAATCAAACTTTCAATATACTCGCACTGGGGCAGAAATTTATTAAGCTGTACATTAGACTTTCCTTTTAGGATACATATTTCTCTTACGTGTATCGGATATTTTACTCATGCCATTGATATAAGCAATTTTTTTCAGTGTGGCACCATATTACTTCCAGGTGAGAGGAGCAAATTTGCACTCACGTGACTAAACTACCAACATGGCTGACGCTGAAAGACGTGTGCAAAACAATCATGTGAGACGTGTGCAAAATAATCACGTGGAAAATGCTATAAGTAGTTTTCTTCATCTTCTTCAGCACTTAGACTACTTGACTGTACGCTACTTCACTCAGTAATCATATGAGGGTGCAGAGTAGCTGTTATAGATGGTTAATTGATTCAACAAAAATTACAGGGACTTTCGTGTGATCATCTAAAACTTAAGATCTAACAAAACTAAATACATGTATGAACAATGCCACCCTATGTGATTACCGGTACATGTGGTAGAGCTCCCGGACCACCTGCGATTCGCCTGGCATGTTCGCCTGGTGCTGCCGGACAGCCGGTAGCCGCTGTTACAGGCGAAGCTGCAAGTCTCGGGGTAGCGGAAGGTGGAACC